TTTACACAGGAAAACAGTCTTCCAAATGAAAAGCTGGCTGGGAGAAAATACCTCAAAAAATGTCTGCATGAATGCATATACGAATGCTGTTGATGACATTCCTGTATTCACTGATTAACAGTCAACAAGCCATCAGAATATTCTGACTGAAAGCTGCCCCCGTATTCTAGACATTTGTAAAAGTTGATTTTATTGGTACACATTTGACATACATAATGATTACACTCATCAAAGGGAATTTTAAGCAGTATATAATACATCTTTGTTTCTTTTTCATTCCACTCTCTTCTCGTCTATCCTTTATCCTTTTATAAAACTTTGTTTTTATTGTAGACACTTTAATAAAGTTGTTGGTACAACATGGCAGAAAGTGCTTTAAGGCCTTGCCAGAACTAATCTGAATCACCAAAATAAGTGGCAAATGTCAAAGATTATTTTTACATGAAGATTGCTCAAATCAATGAATACAAAGTAAATACAATGGAAACAAGTATATAGCTACTATTATTTGTATTAACTGCAAAATAATGAATTGGTCAAATGTCAAATTGCACAGCAGATAAATGTCTATAATAAAAAGTCTTAAACTAGCCCCGAATCCTATTTGGTTCTACTGCTACCTTCACCTTTCCATACCAGATTTTGCTTTTGAACATTTTTCTAATAAAATCAGGTTTTTTTCTTTGTGGATAGAAGGTAGGTCTGATTGAACTGTAATGGCGATAAGACACAGATAATGTATCTTTAAAATTTAAGGAACAGACCTTCAGTCTTCAAATGTTTCAAAAGCTTTGTTTTAGTTGCACTACAAAGACTGCAAGCCCCTGTCTTTGCTAGAACAATGAGACTGCACTCGATGAACGCTCCAGAGCACTTCCTTAGCTCTGCAAGAACTACAGAAACATAAATGAAAGGATTTTGCCCTGGACACTATGGAAGGCGCGGAGGCGGAACCAAGTGGCTTTATCTTGAGGTCACCTTCCCCACCCCTAGGCAATTTACCTGTGGCGTGAAATGAATTCCAATGGGCTACTTGTGCATCAGTAATGCCCCTTAGGCACCACCCAGGACCAAAGCTATATGTATGCCCCCCACACCACATGTCGGGCAAAGAGAAAAGCCAGACCTCAGTGGTTGTGGGGTTCTCTCTCCATGTTCTTAGAACTAAGACCACTTTTATTTCATAATTCTATCTTTCTAGCTGTGCCAAAAATTCTATCAATAAACACCTAGTGGGATTCAATTATCACCAGAAGAGGCAAAACAGCAGCAAACTACACAGAAACCAAATCCTTAGGAGGAAAAGTGTGCTGCTTACCTTTCATCTCTGACCAGGTCAGCCGACTCTGCACTACCTGGGCTCTGACCGTGAGCTTCCGGGGCCAGATGAAGACCAGCCTGACGTGGCACCAGACTCAAAACCAGGCAGCCTCTTCCCTACCTGGCAGAGATTCTGCCTCCATCTGCAATCTAGCTGACACCAGAGGACAGGGAGAGAGCTGGGCCCTATCACTTTGTCTGGGGGCCTCGGGCTCAGATCTCATCCGCCCCTCACAGGCCTCAGTGTTAGGGAAACACCATGAACCCGTCTTTAACACCGCGAACTCATCTTGGAGAAAGATACCGACTTGCTCTCATCATAGCCAAGATGAACAATGTATAAGTAAAATGGAATAAATAGTATGAAAAGTGAATCATATTAGTTATACACAAAAATCAAACACACACAAAAGTCACCTTTTTTCTTCTCAGGAAAGTGACTTAAAAAAACGAGAACCGGGGGCTGGGGATTTAGCTCAGCAGCATAAGCACCTGCCTTGCTAGCAGATGGTCGTGAGTTCGATCCCCGGTACCGATAAAAACGAAAAAGACAAAAAAAAAAAAAAAAAAAAAAAGAGAGAACCAGATAAGATTTAAAAACTGAAAAAAGCAAATAATGAAGATAAACGTGAACCAATATTGCTATGTACTAGAAGACAAAAAGTTAGAAGTGGTGTGACATTAATAAATGCTTTTCAGAAAATATGCAAATTTCTACAGTTTGTTTTCCATTTTCCCACTGATTCTATAATTGTTTTTACAAAAATGAGTGTGCCATTGTGTCATAAGAATAATGCAAAAAAGTCAATCACAAAATTAAATGTTGTTAATACAGTAAAAGTACTGAAAGTGGCACAATCATTTCTGCCTCAATTCTCTAAAATAAATTTAAGTCTAGATAAACCAACTACTTCTATTTTCATTAATTTTAAAACCATGCATACCAAGAGACAGTCTTGGAAGACAGAACAACTTTACAACAAGTTAGGTACGGTGGTGGTGAACCTATCGCACGCACACTGCAGCTGGCTGTTTGTATCACTGAAAGCCCTAAAGACTCAGCACCACTGGATTAAGAAAACAGATTCGATACTTAGGAAAGCAGTCTTTGGGAAACAGGTTCCACAAAGATTTAATTTCAGCAAACATTCTAAGAACTTTTAGAGGGGTCCCTGTCCTATTACTCATTCGCGTTCATTCCTTAAACTAGCCTACTTTTCACCGGTACAAGAGACTGATGGTTAACAAAAGGCACCTTAGGTCTTCCCAAATCTAACACTCAGCTTTCAAAATACTGCCTTGAAAAGAACTCCGGAAGGATGGGAACTCTGGACTGGTGAGAACAGAGGCAGTGCTCAGTATCTACCATCTGTCCAGTGGCACCTTCTGAGTGTTGTAACCACGTTCGTGTTTTAAGTTTTAAAGAACAACTCGAGGGCTGGGGATTTAGCTCGGCGGCATAAGCACCTGCCTGGCAAGCGTGAGGTCACGAGTTCGATCTCCGGTACAAAAAATAAATAAATAAAAAGAACAATTCAATCATTTATGGCATTCAATGCTGTGTATGAAAAACCAGAAATACTGCCTTGTACTTCTGAATTACATACACCACACCCAGATCACAGCGAAATGTACTCTGGTGGAAAGAATAACACAAAAACTAGAAAAAAGCCTATTAAAAGAATCTCAGGGGCAGAGGATTAGCTCATTGTTGGAGCATCAGTGTAGCATAAACCCAAACATTAATCATAAAACAATCTATGAAATCAAATGAAAAAAATCTTTTAAAGCTATAACTATATATTTACTTATTTTTGAGACAGGGTTTTGCTAAATTGACCAGGCTGGCCTAGGACTTGTCTGCCTCAGCCTCCTGAGTCACTGGGATAAGAAATGTTGCCACCATGCCTGGGAAGAAATACATAATTATGTATTCTCCTGAACTGTTTCTGACCAAAGACCTTATTTAAGAGAAACTCTGAAACTGGGATTGAGGCCAGTTTTTTTGTTTTTTTGAAATTCAAGACCTTTTCCCTACGGAAATACCAGGAGAAACAAGCCTTCTAAGCCCTGTGTCCCTGGAGCCTGTCCCTTAACAGGAAGGGTCCCAGGACTCAGGGAAAAATTGCTGCAGCCCCAGGACAACAGGAAATGAAAGCAATGCATTCCCAGGTCCTCCCTCTCAGGCTCCCTGCCTGCCTGTTCTGCTTCAGTCACCAAGGCGCTACTCTTCCCATTCCTTCTCCTTAGGAAGTCCCTGTTGGGGTTTCCAGGATTTCCCGCTTGCACTAACTGCCAGCATCTGCTGCTTTCATCAAGCAGCCTCTTGGGGCCTTGCAAGCACCCCTAATTCAAGTTATCTGGCTGTGCACCGCACCTCTTGACACCCCATATAGCACTTCTTCATCCCGACAGTGCGGTGTACAGACCACTCCAGGCCTTCCCTCTCAAGTCTTTCTGACCAGCCCACCTTCTCCAAAGGTCCACACACTTAGGGTGCACCGTCAGCCCTGCTTTACACTGACCCTGCCACTAGTGCCCAGCTGGTACTAACATGTGCTCCAGGATGGACAAGACCTTGCTTCTACATGGTAAAAGCATGTGTTCAGGGACACAAGAGGTCTGCGGCCCATCAAGTTTTGTTATAATTAACCTTTAGATTAACAGGAAACGGTGAGGACACACACTGGACAAGTCACAAGCCTACCATGTGCAGATCTTGGTATCTCAAGGGAGAGGCAAGGAATTTAGTACTGTTCCAAGAATTGGTAAGCCTTGGAATTAATGTGTAATTTTCATCAGGTAGGATAAAAACAGAGCCATTATCTAAGACACAATAGTGCAGCTCCCTGTCAGGAATAGGGTAAAAACCAATTATTTGAGAAAAGGGCCCTGCCCACCTCAGTGACCCTGGGTCCCAGGTACAGAGACCTGAGTGCTTGATGAGGAACCAGGACACCTAGAATGCACAGCAGGGACCACACAAAACAGAGGAAGCACTTGTTAAGTGACCTCACAGAGCCAGGAGCAATGCCACACAGCCCAGTACCAGCAATCGGGAAAGGGGCTCAGCACTGCTGTTATCACTGTGCTGAAGCCGAAGACAGTGCACAGGCCTCTCTGCTAGCATTATTAAATTATACTCCTAAGATGCTGAATTTATGGTATGTAAGTCATGCCTTGAAAAAGTTATTTTAAAAAAAGCAATTTGGTGGCTTGAATTGCAGTACATGGAGATGGGGAAACCACACCAGAACCTACTAAAGACTGGTTTATGTAACTAGAGCCATGAGTCTAGCTAAATCCTTCACTGCCTCAGAAACAAGGAAGACTCACCTGTGTTTCACATTGTGCAAATTATGTGACCATAAAACTTCAGTAAAAACAAAATCACCAATCAAAAAATAGAAAATCCTAGCTGGGCGTGGCAGTGTACATCTGTTAATCCCAGCACTTGGGAGGCTGAGGTAGGAGAATGGTTGTGTGTTTAAAACCAGCCTGGGCTACAAAGTGAGTTCGAGGCCGGCCTGAACTGCATTGTGAGACTCTGCCTCACAAAGACCAAAATAAATGAATAAATAAAATAAAAATAAAAAATCCTGAGCTCAATCGGACCCTCTCCAACATGGCTGCTGGACAACGGCCCTTTCCTGGGGGATGTCGGAACCCAAATAACTCACCAGCCACTGCAGTCCGCTGTGTCCACTGCTCTGTTCCACTGGTGCGTCTGTCGGTAGAAGTCTCTGGGGTCACTGGGTGTCTGCAGCACAACAAATGTCTGTAAGGAATGTTGTAAAAAATTATTTTTGCATACATATAACTCAGAATATATTTAATATGCAATTAAATTTCAATGAAATGTACTTTGAATTAAAATTTAAGGCCTAGAAAAATTATATACACACATAAGTAAAAAAAAAAAGAACCACATAAAATGACAGATAATGAGAGTTACACAGCTGGTGGGGACAGATTCTAGAAAAGTGGGAGGGAATGGAAATGGAAAGAAAAACAGACTGATATTTAAGACTGATGATTGTTGAAGAAAGCAGAACTGATCAAAGAAGGAAGTCTTCGAAACTGCTATTGGCCAAGAAGCCCAGCTCACTGTCTCAGGGTATAAGGGCTGTTTTGACACAAGTTCTTTAAAAAGAGGCCAAAGGACATTTTTCTCTTTAAAAACAATTGAGGAAAATCAAGACACCACACAGAAGCAAATGGCAATATAACTTAATTTGGAGAAGGAAGGAAGGTTGCTGAGAGCTTAGCATAAGGACCCAAAATGGGATTTCAGGATATTCTAAGATTAATACTTACGAGAACAACTGTAAATTATTATTGTTAAATGACAGACTTAGCCTGGCTATATCCTAATTACATCACAGGAAAAGATTTCTTTCAATTACTTGAGTCTCTCATACTAACAGAGACCAATATAAAAAGAAAAGGAAGTAATTCTTATATTTGCATAATTGTTAATATGCTGAGTACTTTGTGTGACAATAACTATACACAAATAATATATATAGTCATGTGTTAGTTAATAATACTAATCCTGCAAAATACTACTGTCCTCATGTTATGGACACAGAAACAGAGGCTTGGGAAGGATAAAGAGCTTGCTAAGAATATTCAAATGTGGATGAGATCCAAATGTGAATTTAAAATACCTATTTTTTAAAACAGTATCATACTGCTCCTTAAAAATACTTAATTTCTATCATGTTTTTATCATGTAGTACTACATACTACACATTAGCAAAAACAAATTAAATGAAAGAAACTGACAGCAAAAAGCCACAACCAGAAGCAAGATAAAGAAAATAACAAAATAACTAAAACATGAAAGTGGCTCAGCTCTTTCAAAGGCTATGGCAGAAGGATCACAAACTCAGGGCCTTTTGGGCAACTTAGCAAGTTCTTTCTCCTAAGCATTTTAAGAGATGTAGCTCCGTAGTACAATCTTAGTGTTTGCCCAGCATGCAGGAAGCTAGCTCTAAGGTTCAACCCTCAGTACCGTAACAGAAAAAAAAAGTGTGGAACAGAGTTACACTTTGGAGCTTAGAGGGCTCCCAAAAACTCAGTAATCAAGATAATAGTACTGTGAGCCAGGAATATAGATAGCTCAGTGGCACAAGCCTGCCTGGCAAGAGCCTATAAAATGCAACCACCTCAGAGGCAATCCCACAGCACAGCACACTAAGTGATCCAAAATAAATTAATAAATTCTAAATTTTCTCTGCTCCAATCATCTCAACTCAGTATGGAGGACTCCATTTAAAATGATTAAAAGATGCTTTAGTATAAGACATCTTGTAAAAACGCAACACTCAGGACCAGGGATAATGTTCAGCTGCCTGGCAACTGCAGGTCCTAAGTGTGATTCCCTGTACCACCCCCTACCAAAGTAACACTTCAAACAGCTTTAAGACAGACTGTTCTAGTCATGGCAACACAGTCTCAGTTGCTTGGGTGGGGGGGGCACGAGTGTTCACCTGAGCCCAGGAGTTGCAAGCCAGTCTGGCAATGAGGCAGGACAAAAACTCAATTGTTTGCTATCTTTATAAACTTGAGCAGATACTGAACCCAGAGCCGTTTGCTTTGAACTATAGCCCAGCCTCTTTTATTCTGGGACAGTATTTCACTAATTTGCCTTAGCATGACTCAAATTTGTGATACTCCTGCCTCAGCTTTCAAAGTGCAGGGATTATAGGCATGTGCCACCAAGCCTAGTGTCTGAGTAATTTTTGTACCTATTTCTCATCTGTTAAATAAAAACAAAAAGCTCCATACCTCATGGGATTTCATAAATTGATTCATTAAATGAATATATAAAAACACTTAAGAGTAGTGCCTGTTACAGATCAGTGCTCAAAAAAGTCCTGGCCAATAAAGTCAGTATTATTTTCAAGGCTCATTTTTTAAGGAATATTTCCTTAGTTCAAATTAGGCACATTTCTTTGACCCACAAAATACAAGCAGTTAACTGCAGAGACTGCTTAAGAGGAAAATATGAAAGGGATGGACAGACACAATGGAAATTATCGAAGAGAACGTTAGTCAGTACCTGTCTTCTACCAAGATTACCACAGCACAATCATTTCTGCAAATGTCTTTGCCTTAAGGACTATGAGCACTTTTCAAGGGCAGGAAAATATTTTTGCATTAGTAGTTCCTAAAACAGTGCCCACAATGTGGTAAACACTAAATGTATGATAAAATAGAAAGGGAAAGTCAATGATTGGATTTGGCTCCTGGTTTCACCATAGCTTCACTGGGCTTGGGTGAGTCGGTGCTGACCTCTTAGCACTTACTTGATTATCAATTTACTAACCCACTATTCTATCGGAATTGGGAAATCAATTTCAAAGAGTGATGTTTAAAAAATAACTGATCCGCTATAAACTTTTAGTATTTCCAAGTAACAATATATATACAAACCTTAGTAAGTTTTCTTAAATACTGCTGTGTCTACACATGAATTCTAATGGTCAAATGTCAATCAGTTGTAGCAGTACAGACACCAAATGCAATATATGTGCCTTGGGTGCCAATCTGTTAGAAGCAGTGCAAGTACAGAAAAGAGATGTACACAGTCACTTCCTCCTGCCTTCTGGGGCCAAACCTAGCAGGTGCAGGGGTAACCAAGCCCTAAACTCTGTCTGGAACCGCCCTCACTCCAACTTCATATAGCACTTAGTCACGCTCTCTCTCCCAGCTGTTTGGTACCGAAGTCATCCCAAGCAGGGCAGGATGGAAAAATCTAATTCTTCCCCAGGAGTCTGGAAAGCTAAGGACAAACTCAAAGGTGAGAGATCACAAAGGGAATCCAGGTCTTGAGGGGAAAAGGGAGAGAGGAGAGGGCAGGGCGGGCAGCACGGAGGCAGACAAGAGGCTTAGAGGGCTCCCCAAAACACGGTAATCAAGATAATTGTATTGTGGGCCGGGGATACAACTCAGTGGCACAAGCCTGCCTGGCAAGCACAAGGCCGTGAGTCCAACCCTGGTACCAAAAAAAAAAAAAAAAAAAAATTATATCATGATGCAGTTCTTTTTTAAAAATCAAAATTAAAATCTTTGAATGGAGCAGAGGCACAGAAGGGAGCTGAGTAGAACCCATACAAGTCACAAGGGGAGAACTGGAGTTCCGAAGTGCTGGTGCTGGTTCCAGCTGCAGTTCCTTCAGTGTGGTCGTCTTATGACCCTGATACCATGCAGGCTACCATGCTTAAGAGGGCTGTGTTCCCCAGACCTAAAACTGTGACTAGCATGTCCCACTGAAAAAACGAAACATTCACATAAAGCTATTTTTCAAAATCAAGGCAATACACAATCAGCTGGCAAAGGAACAGGACTGGCAATTAGAGCTACAGAAGTCTAGGAATTACTGTGGGTGGTCAGAGGATAGATTAGCTAGACAGAAAGGAAGGAAAAGCACATAGTCAGCAAGGAGATCAAAACACAGGCTGAAAGGCTGGAGAGGCACCAGAGAGAGGATCTCAGGAACCCTGTGCTCTGCTGAACACTAGCACACTTTCTCGCTCGCCTGCCTCCGGTCCTCAGGCCACTGACCATGGCACCACTGGAATCCCCTCCTCCTCTTCTCTTGTCCAAATCTGTTAATATTCTTCAGGGCCCAGCGTGAAGAGGCCTCCCTGGTGTCCTACTCAAAGGAAACAACAGGGCAGGACTAAGGAGAGGCAGGCAGGCGCAGAGTGTAGTTTGTCTGGGAAAGCTAAGGGACTGAATGTAGTGACCTGCAAGAGTGACTCTCTGGAGGAGAGAAACTGCATCCAGAAAGGCACCTGCGGGGAGTGAGACCCTCTGACAAGAGCTTGCCCCACGGCCTTTCAGGTGGAAGGCGCGGGAGCAGTGCTCTGAGGATACTAACTTGGGGTGACAGGACGGGGAGGCTCTGTTCCAGCCTTGGTACAGCAGCTCCACACACAGGAGGACCCAACATTTCGCTGGCTACAATTTCCTACCTGGAACCCCCATGTGTAATTATTAGGAATCCTATCCTGCTCAAAGGAACTGTTCTACAACACGTGAAGGTGTTCCCACTGCCTTGCCTCTATATATACAAAAATACTGCCTGTACGTCGATCAGACAGCTGCTACTGGCCAAAAGAAAACAATTAACTGAAGGTCCTGGGAACTGCCTTAAAGATTGGGAGAATATAAATGCACTCTTACCACTCTCGTCAGCCTGAATTTTCTCCCAGTTTGCCATATTCTCATCCATCTCTCAAGTGCAGGGCCTGAGAGCTGTGCTCCTTGGAATGTGTCTGCCAGGGTGCTGGAGCCTCACTGTTTACCTCTGAGGTCTTATCCCCTCTATCAGCAGCCTCCCTTTGTAAAAGGTGTGTTTGTGTTCCCTCCCTTCCTGGGTGCGTGCAGACTTCTGAGCATAAATACCTGAGGGCATGTTTATCTTTACAGGTCCTGGAGGGTGCACAGCTGTGGGGTGGAAGCCAGAGTGTCAAGCTAAGAGCACAGGTGTAAAAAGCCACTCTAAAAGACCACAAATCTTGTGAGTACATTTTTAATCAAAGGGCAAATCCCCGCAGGTGGCAGGTGGCAGTGGGTGACGCCCAGGCGGACTTTGGCTGGGGAAGGGCTAGTGACTACCAACAAAGGGTTTCTCAATGTCGAGATGCAATCTTCTCAAATGGGCTGTAGTGACAGTTTCACAGCTCTGTGAATACACTAAATCCACTGAATCCCACACTTTAGGTATGGCATAAAATGCCACTTTATTAAAGTTGTTACACACTC